ACCAGTCCGTTGGGCATTGAATCGTCCATAAACTATCCATTTAACGCAGCATTAAAAGAGAAGAACGTTGGGCATTAATTGTTGTAACGGAAGAAATGCGCGACAGAAGACCCCAATAGAACACCCCTTGGAGGGTTTCTGTCCGAAGCCAGCAGAACACCCCTTGGAGGGTTTCTGTCCGAAGCCAACAGAACACCCCTTGGAGGGTTTCTGTCTGAAGCCAGCAGAACCCCCTTGGAGGGTTTCTGTCCGAAGCCAACAGAACACCTCTTGGAGGGTTTAGGCCTTCTGTCCGGAGCACTTCTGGGAAAAAATAAACGTTTCGGGAAGAAAACAAAAATAACCGTATCTCTTGAGAGATAGATTTTTTGACGGCATTCGTGTCCGCAGGTCGCCCGCGCACACGAGTCGCGGTTTTTCTTCTCCGTTTCGGGATTTGATCGGCACCCCCCAGCGCGTAAGAGAGAGCCTTTCCCTTTAGGAATCTTAACTCCTTAAAAGAGGCTTCCCTTTATAAGGGGGTGAAAATCCCTTGAGTTTTTCGGTGTGGGATAAAACACACTAGAAACTCATCATTTTTCCCAGTTTTTCCATTTCAACGAGTGAACTTCGAGAATCAATTTCTCATTCACCCGTTATACGTTTTGAGTGTACCACATATCGAATTGTAGCCCTTAACAAGGACAATCCGAAGCCACTTTGACCCGACCCAAATCGGAAGTGGACCCCACTCAAATAATTGCCCCAAAATGACCATTTAATGCAATTTTTTCCCGTGACGTGGTCATTAAAGAGCACGTAGGTACACGTAGCAGCAACTCTCCGCAAAAAATACGAAGCAAATCCCTTTTCTTTTTGACAACAACAGACTCTGCGCTATAGAAAACAAAAAATCTGTTTGTACTCACTTTTATACCTACTTTTGTATACACCCCCTATTTTGCCTGTGCACACAAGCAATTCGTTAAAAAGAAGGCAGCATGTGTTTTTGTGTGTAAGGGGGTGCGTGCAAATGTTCTTACAAAATGGGTAACAAGAACGACTCTTGAGAAAAGAGTCGGGCTATACATCGATAAGGAAATATCCACCTCCTCACTACTGGATCAGATTCAAAATTTGTCTCCGCTTATTTTGATCTACTCAATCGGACGCTATTGTCGGTCTAGAGTTATCACGAATATGGCGAAAGGAATACAGATGCAAGTGGCGGCGGCCTGGGACGGTAAACAACGCATCTTGCTCCAATGATCTTCTCTTCCTCTGCTTGAATGGATTTAAGGTAATCAACCCAATCGCCCTCTTACGGTTTTACCTTAACAGCCCTCCATCTCAATACTCAATGTCTCCATCGCTTTTACCAATGAAGTCCTTGTCGGTAGGGTGGAAGTGGAAATCCGGGGGCAGCTGCGGTTGTTGGGACTCACAGGAGGAATTTGTGCTCTCCATATTTATTATGTACTATGTGTAAGTGAAATGAATTACAAATTGGATTACTATTGATTAAGATAGGGATGATCATATGAGATTAATTAAGAGAAAGAAAAGAAAAGAGTAGTGGGATTTATGTGAATTAGACAAAAAAGCTACGGGATACACAAGGTATAAGGAAACCTAAGTAATCTAATTAAAGGTGCAACAGTCTGTTATAGTATAGCAGTCTTTGTTCGTGTTTGATTTCGAGCAAGAAGCAGTCGACCCGTGTCCAATGCCTTCGAGCAACCTCACATCCGGTTTTTTCCGAGTTTGCAGGTTTTGGCCGAGTCGAGTTCGTTCCGGTTTTAACCATATTAGCGGTTTGAGGGTCAGCCACACCGGATAACTGTCTGGGCCGGCGGGTTCCGGGTCAAACCGCCCGGACCAGTCCGATTCTTTAAACATAGGAGTTTGTAAGCCAACTTAGACAATTACTTTTTTCAAAATTTAGACAAGCACTCAGTATGAATGATTATGATGTGTAATGATATGTAATCACATGGAACATGTTTGATAAAGGAGAGGACCAAGAGGACAATAGTGGGAGGAAAGCGCAAAGTAAACTAGGGAATTGTGGGATAAGTAAGACAGATTTATATACTGAGTGTAATAATCCTATTCTTTTAGCTTATTCTTAATAGAATAAGAAATTTGGATACATATATACATTGTATCTTCTCATTATCAGCTTATTCAAAGTAAGTTATAGATTGATAAAAACTCTGATGGACAAGGGATATATAACCTGAAAAAAATATGCCCTCTTGTGTGGGCCCTTATTACTATGTTTTTCACTTATAAAATGATAATATGATATTTCATATATGTATACCACATGTAAAGAAATGGTTTTAAACTACATTGTGTTTCTTTCATCATTGATGATCAAAAACAAGTCACACCTGCTAACTTGCAATAGATTACCGTTGATTTTTTATGCAGTTGTGGCGTTAATGTTTTAAAAGTTCACCATTACAGTAAGGAGTCGTTTTATTCATCTAACTTTTATTATTTATTGTTTATTTTTTTTTTATTCAAATCAGGTTAGATCAGAAAGTTTCTAATATTGTTTAACGATAAGAATGATATATACCTTTCAATGATTTACGATGAGAGAGGCGCAATTGATTTTTGATCCACTTAATTTCTTACGAAGCTGAAGAACCAAAACATGCTTTTGGAATAGGCTGTTGCGTTCAAATAGGTTACGGAGTTCTGGTTTAGTTGTAAAAGGATTTTGAGAATCAGCGTACATCTATCCAAATTCCTTTAATTTAATAATAAAATCTAATAAATAGTTATATCATTAATTGATTTGGTGGGAGCCGTGTTTATTGTGACTTACGTGCTCCATATGGAGCATGTGACAAGCTCCTTAAAATTTTTGTTACTTTCAATCACCCGACTATTTTGTCAGTGACACGTTTTGTACTCAACTTTCAATTTTTCCATTTTTGGTGTTTCAACTAGTATGTGAGAGACACTTTTAATCCTCAACTTTAAAGTTCATGGAATTTAGTCGTCTAGGTATTATGAAATAGATAATTTTAGTCCTTCAACTATGAATTCACTATTATAATAATTGAAAAAAGTGTCACTTTTATTACATTCAAGTGTATTTCGCACTATATTCAAAGGATTAAAAGTGGAAAAAATCTAAATCGAATACCAAAAAGGTCAGAAAAACAATCGTGAGAGGACTAAAAGCGGCAAAAACTCAATAAAATAACAAACCAAGTGCTTAATCTACCCATTCATTTTCAAGGCTCAATTACTCATTGAAAGAATAGAATATAACAAACCAAGGATGTTTTTACTAGGATTTAAATTTTATGGTCTCATTTGGTCTGGTCTAGTCAGCTCTGCTCTAGACTGGTAAATGTTAAGTCTTTGTGTATTTTATAATTGTCGATATCTGGTATGATATGGTCTAAACTGATTTGATCTGATCTGGGACTGAAATAAGTCCACGTAAAAACATCACAAGTGTTTGAGGTGTGAGCGGGTTGTGGAGGAGGTAACATGCAACACATTATCCAACGCTGCCATTAGGCACCATAGAAATCAATTTCGGAGTGATGCAGACTGCTATATAGCCCTTTACCCCACCCAACGGCTATATAGCCGTTTGGGTTGTCCCCAGCCCCACCCCCAACGGCTAGTAGGAGCCCAAACCAAAAAAAAAAAAATTAAAATTGAACCGGACCCGAGCCCGGGTCACAATAATGCTGAACCGAGCCCGCCCCGCCCCTTCCCACCGGTTCGGGCCCATACCCGGTCCCGGACCGCCCGACCGGGCCGGTCCCGGGCCCGCACAGTACCGGGCCGGGCCGGGTGGCCCGAACCGAATCCATCCCTAGATGCAGTATTAAAATAGAAGCAAGGTAGAAGATGGAAATGAAATCATCTTACTTAGAATGAGAAGTTTACAGAGTATTTATACAAGTTAGGGATGGGCCTGGGCGGGTTTTTTTTGCAAATTCATGGGCTCGGAACTGGCCCGGGTTGAAACCGGGTCCGGGCTTAACCGGGCCGGGGCCGGTTCGATGTCTATTTTTTTTTTGCTTTCTTGTTATCCCCCGACCCCCCCCCCCCTCACCCCCCCCCCCAAACCTCCCCAAAACACCCAGCCCTAGCCTAGGAAAAGAAGAAAAAAATTGAAAAAAAAAAGACCCGGGCTTGGCCCGAACCGCCCGGGCCGGTTCGCCCAAAACTGGGCCCGAGCCCGCCCCGCCCGACCCGCCCAAACGGGCTAAAAGCTCAGAACCGGTCCTGGTCCGGTCCGGGCCCAAACAGTACAGGGCCGGTTTGGTTCCGGGCCGGTTTGGTTCCGGGCCGGTTCGGCCCGACCCAGTCCATCCCTAATACAAGTGGTAGTTCAACTAACTAACAACTAGTGTAACCGAAGCCTAACAGACTGTAACTACACAATATTATAAAGAAAAACATGTGTAGAGTTTATCTAATACTCCTAACATGCAGAGAAGAGAGGTGTGGCAAAGATGGTACTAGTATAGGAAGAGCTCAGCGATGCAGACTTGCAGGGGAGAAGACCAATAAAATAATTTGGTTTGAGGGTTTATAATTATATTAATGGTAGAAATGTAACTTATTCAGAGAATAAATTGTAACTCCTATTTTGGAACTTTCCCCATGTTTTAACCCTATTTACGAGAATTTCTTAAATATTATCCTTTCCCGTGCCAATCACATGCAATAAGAAAAAAAATCCATGAAAATATTTTCCGCTAAACAAATGGAGCCTTATTATTACATTTAATAATCATAGTACGTGGTATTGAGTTGATGCTAAAATAGACTGATCGTGTATGCAGAGTTTGTATCGTCATCATCAAAGTTCATAGTGCACTTGTGCAGAATTGAAGAATTCATCTTTACTAAAAAACAATTGCTAAAGATCAACATATACATTCAGCAGACTAGCACTGCATTTAAAGTATGAGAAGTTTACATTCATCTTGATCTATGATCTGTATGATCTTCGTTCCCATAATAAAATAACAGTTCTGAGAATAAATTTTCTTCATCGACTCTGAAGCGTGATTGCTTCTTGATGATAAAGGAGACGAAAAGATTAGATGGCCGCCACTCCAATCCCACTAATGATACGCAGCTCCTCTAAATCTGTTTGTGAAGGATAGAGGAACAGCCTGAAGATATCATCGACCTAATAACAAATACAAATAAGAGAGGCATGGGGAAATTACCCATTTTCCATTGGGGCTCACAGTATTGTGCGTGTAGATTTATCAAAATGTATTTACATTGTCTCAGGCATACAGGGACATTATGTATCTACGTGATTGTGAGCAATCATATATTCTTGATCTGTAATGTGATATAATAACTTATCTACAGCTTTAAAAGTGTGGCAGTCCTCTAAGGTTAGGGGTTGGTGTGCTCCGATTTTTTTTAGTGGCAGCAGCGCATTAGATGGTGCCAGAACAGGAGATTGAGGAGCTCCAAGGGAGGAGGATTGAGGACGAATTAGGTGTATAAACAAATAGCAACTGAAGAAGAAACTTTACTGGCACTTCTCACGCAGTGGTTGGAGCGGTGATCAGCAAAAAAGACAGTAAAGTTCCTACTTTCCGGGAAGGATGGCAGCTCAATGGAGACCTGAATACAGAGACAACTTTTCATGACTTGGGGGATCGGGTGTTTTTTGTTCAAGTGAGTTAGGTTATGGTGGAGGGACCAAGAATTTACTGACGAAACCTTATAGTAATGTCAGGGGTGTAACAGCATCAGTGGCCGCGGCAGTCAAGAATCTTCTGGATGGTTTCGGCTGGTCTGATGCTCTATTTTGGCAGTTCCTGAAAAGCCTATATGTGGATCCGAGCTCTGGCAGAGGTGGGGAAAGTCTGGAACGCAGGATGAAACTGAGGCAGAAGGGGGTGATCTTATTAACGAAAACTACCCAATTTTTGCTTCATTTGTTAGCCTTAGTGTGATCAGACGCATAGACAAGTTCTGTCCAAAGCTAAAGGAGGATGGTCTGAGAACTAGTGAAAAGGATTATGGGGTTCAGTTGAGGGCAGAAGGTCAGGAGGGGTTGGCAGGGAGAGGCAGCTGATGACTGCTTCTGGATAGTAGGGCTGTAGGGGGCACTAAGGGATAACAATGCACACTGGGTTGGTGGCAGTAGTGTGGGCGGTAGTGGCAGCAGTAAAAGGGGAAAGGAATTTGGACTGTGGGGGAGACTGGTAAATGACTAGAATAGAGGATGTGCAAATGCTATGAATTGGGATGTAATTCAGCCAAAACAAGGGGCAGGGGAGGGGTTGTGGACTTGTGGCGCAGCCCTGTATTGGTTTCTGGGCCTGCATAAACAGTGTTGCCATGGGACTGGCTGGCTACGCCAGGCAACTCAGGTGGAGAAGCAGGAGAGGTCTGGTTGTTTTGTTAAAGCGGAGGTGGGAGTATGGTGACTGGATCTTTTGTGGTGTATGGTGTGTTTGGAGTTGGTTGAAAGCCATGGAGCATTGATGAGAGCAGAAAAAATAACAATCAACGGTAACAACCGTTGCCCAAACTTGAAGCTCAAAAACCACTTTATTCCAATAATAATCGATAGTTCTAATAACCCTCTTAAGGGGTATAAATAGCCTACTAATTCTAATTAAGGTAGAACTCCTAATTAAATCATACTAGGAAACTTAATTAAAATAGGAACATAATAAAAGGAAATAACTAGGAAACTTAATTAAAATAGGAAACATAATAAAAGGAAATAACTAGGTAATTAATTCAAGCCAATTAAATATCCAGCCCACGGAGGTGGGCTTCAGCCCGTCCCCGCCTTCGGTAGACCAACAAGGGCCTCGGGCCCTGTTCTGCCTCAGTCGGCTCCGTCTGCTCTTTATCAACTTCATCCTCCTTTGAAAGAACTTTGTCCTCAAGGTTGAAATCTGGAAATTGACCCAAAAAACTTGCTTTATCCATCCATGTAGCATCGTCAATCGACTGCCCTACCCATCTGACCAGAAGCTCTTCCTCCTTGTCATTTTTCTTTCTGCTAGCTAATATCTTTTCAGGCTCAAACAGTGGGTCTATTGGTAGCTCCAAACTTTCTGGCAACTCATTCTCTATCGGATGATCGCCTACCACCTTCCGCAACTGAGATACATGAAAAACCGGGTGGATACGGCTGCTGGATGGTAGCGCTAGACGATAGGCTGTCGGCCCAATCCTTGCTTCAATAAAAAATGGCCCATAGAATTTGGCGGATAGCTTATTGTAAGACTGCCGGAATAGAGAAGTCTGGCGGTGAGGTCTCACCTTCAAAAGCACTTTATCTCCAACCTGAAATTCCATGTCGCGACGGTGCTTATTAGCTTGGGTCACCATGTGCTGCTGAGCTTTCTGTAAACTCTCTTTCAGTCTCTTCAACATGACATCCCTGCTGCCCAGCACTTCTGTCACTGCTGCCACCGTGCTCTCTCCTGGCAGAAATCAGCGAATAGTGGGTGGGGGCCGGCCGTAAACCACCTCAAACGGTGAAATTCTTGTTGCCGTCTGGAACGCAGTATATACCAATATTCAGCCCACGACAGCCAACGCACCCACTGCCGCGGCTGCTCACAAGTGAAACAAGTAAACAACGCAAATATGTCTCTAACACACGACTCAGCACTTCTGTCTGTCCATCTGTCTCCGGATGATAAGCTGAACTAAATTTTAACTGCGTACCAGACAAGAAAAATAGTTCCTTCCAGAATGCACTTATAAACAGGGAGTCCCGGTCACTCACAATTGAACATGGAATGCCATGTAACCTGACTACTTCTCTGGAGAAGGCTTCAGCCACCGATCATGCTGTGATCGGAGTTTTTAGGACAATAAAATGCCCATACTTGGACAATCGGTCTACCACCACTAAAATGGATGTGTACCCCTTCGACTTAGGCAAGCAAGTGATGAAATCCATGGAAATATCTTCCCAAATCAAGCTGGGAATAGGTAAAGGCTGCAGCAGTCCAGCCGGCGGCATTGCCTCATATTTGGCCTTTTGACAAATCAAACACTGAGCAACATAAGCTTGTACTTGGCGGAACATTCCCTTCCAGAACACGTTCATTGCTTGCCTTCTGTATGTCCTGTGTGCGCCAGCGTGACCTCCTGTTGGCATGTCGTGGAATTCCTCCAATAGGCGAGGAATCCATTTAGAGTCCGAAGCCAGGGCCAATCGGCCCTTGTAGAACAGCCGCCTCCCAATTACTTCATAACCTGGTACACTAGCTGGATCGGTTGCCAATGCATGTATAATTTCTCGTAAAAAATTATTTTTCTTTTGCTCCTCTTCTATGTCAGCTAGTCCCAACCACTCCGGCATGCTGACCGCGGCTAGATCCATTACTTCCCCTTTTCGAGATAGAGCGTCTGCAGCCGTATTAGAAACCCATGTCTTGTATTCAATCTCAAAATCATAACCCAATAATTTTGCAACCCAGATCTGCTGGGAAGGGGTCGCTATGCGCTGAGTGAACAGATGCTTGAGACTGCGGTGATCTGTGCGCACCACGAATTTTCGACCGATTAAATATGGCCGCCAATGTTGCACGGCTAATGCTAACCCCATCATCTCTCGCTCGTAGGCTGATCTGGAAAGGGTTCTGTCCGCCAATGATTTGCTAAAATAAGCAACAGGTCTCCGCTCTTGCATAAGTACTGCTCTGATCCCAGTTCCGGATGTGTCACATTCCACCACAAATTGACGGTCAAATTGGGGCATGGCTAACACCGGTGCTTCTGTTAAAGCCTTCTTGAGCTGTCTAAATGCCCCCTCGGCCTCGGGGACCAATAAAACTGAGCTAATGCCTCCTTTTTCAGAAGATTCGTGAGTGGTCGTGCAATCAGCCCATATTCTTTCACAAACCTCCTATAGTATCCAGTCGGTCCTAAAAATCCACGAACCTCACAGACAGAATTCGGTGACGGCCAATCCATCACCGCGCTAACTTTAGTCGGATCCATGGCTACCCCTTCTTGAGAAATAATGTGCCCCAAGTACTCAACCTGTGGTCGCCCGAATGCGCACTTCTTCATGTTGGCTCTGAACTGATTCTTCTCTAGGAGGCTTAGCACTAATTCCAGCTGATCTCGATGTTCCGCCCAAGATTTGTTGTACACTAAAATATCATTGAAAAATACCAGCACAAATTTCCGCAAGTAGGGTCTGAACAAGTCATTCATGGCTGCCTGGAAGGTAGCTGGGGCGTTTGTCAGTCCGAACGGCATCACCAAAAATTCATAATGCCCGCTGCGAGTACGAAAAGCAGTCTTATGTACATCAGGACCAGTCACCCTGATCTGATGGTACCCAGAGCGTAGGTTTATTTTGGAAAAAACCATCGCCCCCGCCAGCTCGTCTAACATCTCCTGTATCACCGGAATTGGGTATTTATCTGGTATCGTAGATTTGTTTAGTTCCCTGTAATCCACACAAAATCGCCAGCTGCCATCCTTCTTCTTGACCAACAAAACCGGGCTCGAGAATGGGCTAGAACTTGGTTGAATGATGCCTGCCCGAAGCATTTCGTCTACAAGTTTCTCGATCTCATCCTTCTGCAAATGACCATACCGGTACGGTCGAACTGACACAGGCTGTGTCCCAGGAATTAGCTCAATGTGGTGGTCCGTGGCACGGCGAGGTGGCAGCCCCCGCGGTTCCCCAAATACCTCGGTATGCTGCTCGAGAATATCCTCCGCAGTACCAGCAGCTGCTCCAGACAGTCTGGCAGGCTCACTGACTAGAACAACGGCACAAAACTCGATATCCGTGGTCTTGGGTAGTGTGCGTAGGCTGACTGCGTTTCTGCACATTGCTGGATCGCCCCTGAGCTCTATCTGTCTACCATCAACCTTGAATCGCATCGTTAAATTTTTCCAATTGGTTCGAACTTCTCCCAATGTGGCTAACCAAGCAACTCCTAATATAAGATCAACCCCGGCCAATGGAAACACAATTCTGGTAAAGTCACCACAAGCTGCCAGCACACCCCTTCTGATTCTTGCCTATGCCCATCCCCCAACTGGACTCTGAATTTCCCGATCTTGTCCGGGTTCAGTCGGAGTAGTGACACTAATGAAGATGAGACAAAATTGTGACTGGCGCCACTATCTATCAATACCGTCACCGTGCACCCCTCAATCACTCCACGGAGCCTCATCGTCTGAGGGCTGAAGATTCCAGCCATAGCATATACTGGAAAATCGCCGTCACCGCCGTCAGAATTGTCGTTGTTCTCTGGGAATTCCTCCTGTCCTGTTACCTCAAAATAATCATGTTGTTGCAGGTCCAATTCTTCATCTTCCTCAGCTAGCATCACCCTTAATTGTTTAAAGGGGCAGTCATGTCCCGGTGTAAATGGTTTCCGGCACTTGAAGCATAATCCCTTTGCCCGCAGCTCTTCTAACACCTTTGGGGGAAGTCTGGTGAACCTGGAATGTGCGGTGGACTGCCCGGACAGCCCTGAAGTGGACCCCACAGACGGTGAAGATGTCCCCACAGTCTGTCCAGTGGCCTTCGTGAGGCTGCCACTGGAGTTGCGCGAGCTGCCGCCATTAGCAGTTGGCGGGTGGCCCGTGTAGGGTCGGGAATAGCTGCTGGAACGTGACCCTGTGGAAATATAATTTGGACCTCTTCTACCTCCGTTCTGAATGGACAGGTTATGCTCCACATCTCGAGCTAATTCCATGGCCACTTCAAGTTTATCCGGTCGAAATAAGCGCAACGAGCTTCGGATTGCTTCTTTAAGTCCACTCATATAGTAGCCCAAATAATGGTCATCGGTCAATACCGAAACTTGGCTAGCCAGTTGAACAAACAAGGTATTGTAATCCTCCACAGACCCAATTTGTTTGACTCCAGACAACCGTTCAAATCTGTTCCCCTGAATTCTTCCCATGTCATGCTGGGTTTGCGTGCTTTCAGCCAGGTTACCCAGTAGAGGGCCCCTCCTTCCATGGCAACCACAGCGGCTGCCACCTTTTTCTCTGGTAGGGTTCCGTTTAATTCGAATTGTTGTTCAACACGAGCTATCCACCCGATCGGGTCCTCTCCGTCAAACGTGGGCAGCAAGGTGTGGCCGGTGATGTGCGGCAGGTTATCGACGATGGTGTTGTCACAGCAGCACTTCCGACTGCAGCCGTGGAAGTTTCCGGCGAGATCGGCGGCACAAGGGCCTGGGTTAGAGCCGCCAGAGAGGCGGCGATTTCAGCCAGCCGCATGCCGTGTTCTTTCGGGGTGTGATTCATCCGCTTCTGCTCAATCGCCATTCGGGCTTGCTCTGTCTCTACCTCTTTCAATCGATCACTTTGAGATCTTGTCATCTTGGTGGGACGGGATCCGGCAGGTCGGACCAATTGATGAGAGCAGAAAAAATAACAATCAACGGTAACAACCGTTGCCCAAGCTTGAAGCTCAAAAACCACTTTATTCCAATAATAATTGATAGTTCTAATAACCCTCTTAAGGGGTATAAATAGCCTACTAATTCTAATTAAGGTAGAACTCCTAATTAAATCATACTAGGAAACTTAATTAAAATAGGAAACATAATAAAAGGAAATAACTAGGAAACTTAATTAAAATAGGAAACATAATAAAAGGAAATAACTAGGTAATTAATTCAAGCCAATTAAATATCCAGCCCACGGAGGTGGGCTCCAGCCCGTCCCCACCTTCGGTAGACCAACAAGGGCCTCGGGCCCTGTTCTGCCTCAGTCGGCTCCGCCTGCTCTCTATCAAGCATCCTGGGTAAGATCATTTTGCTAGCAGGAGCCAGGAGGCATGAGTGTTATTGTTTATCTGTTTGTGCTCCTTTTAGTGGCAGTGCAGTCCTCTTTTGCTTCAGCTCTTTTTCAGTTCTTTTACTTTTTGTTACGTAGTACTTTTTTCTGATGACCTCTTTCTGCTTGATTACAGTGTGGTTGTTAAGAAAAACAACCTGGCCCGGTGGTAGCTTGCCCTTCTAAGGTGTGTTGCTCTTTCGGAGGTTACCCCTTCAATGATATGACATATGCCTAATCATTGGGTTTGTCTGGTATGGTGTTCTCTATCATGTACATTTGAAGTTTTTTTTTAAAAACAAAAAAGTTGAAAAGTGCTGTTTTAAGCAATTGCAAACACTCAACTCAGAGTAAGAGAATCACATACAAGCTGACCTTTCTTCAGGATGGTATGTCACATGTGGACTCATGAACTGAAAGGAAGGGCATGTCAAACTGATATATTAACTGATCACTCTTGGAATCACCAAATTATACTCTCAGAATTCGTGTCAACTTGTAAACCTGTTAGCAGAGTAAGAAATTATTACAAGTATCCCATTATCTACGCCATGAGCATGGCTCAAGTTCAAGAAATTTACTGACCTGAGCACTTCTACTTGGCAAAGGCACTTCCAAGCAGAATCTCTTTCCATCGACTCTGGATATAAGATTGTCATCAGACACAAGAATAAAGATGCAACAACAGGATGTCATGAAACCTTATATATAAAGTTATTTACTTTCAGAAGAAACTTAAGCATTTGTAATGCACTTTTTACCTAAGATTGCTGGTTTTTTGGACATGTTGCTCATGACTGATCAATCCTCGTCCGCCATACTTGCTTTGATCGGTGTTCAAGATAACCTATGTATATTTTTTATTAGGGACAAAAGATTCATGAATACCGTTACAGAGTTAGAGTATATTTGGTTAAGGGAATAGGGGAGGGAAAGGAGGGAGTGTTATTATATTACTCATCCATCCCACTCAACTTTGCCAATTCAGTTCATGATGGATGTGTGATGCTAAAGTTGATTCCTCCCACACAATATTTGAAATACGGTTAATAACTAGGCTAGATTAGGATATTTGGAAACTACGCTGAAAAGATTGAAGCGTAAAACTGAAATCGAATTAGATAAAGAATTGATACTTAAAATCAGAGAATAAAAACAACTTATACTGACCACATCAATGGTAAAATGGCAAAGTTGAATGGGATGGAGGGATGAAGTTTATTATTTGATTTAGTTGGAATGCAGGAGAGGGGGATTTAGGGAAGGGACAATTATCATGTATGCTCCTAGGAGGGGAGCATTTTCCCTCCCTTCCCCGTCAAATACCCTGAGCCAAAAATACTGTTACGGACTGTTTGAAACCGGGGTAAGAGAATAAGAAGAAGATAAATTCAAACTCAGTATAATTAACTTAGATTTTTTTTTCAAAAATCATGCAATTATATATTACCACTCTATAAATACTAAGAAGTCTTACTATAGTAAAAAAACATACATCATTTCCTTGCATTTTTCAAGGTAAAGCTGAACATAACATGATAACTTGGATATGTTTTCATTTCCTGTGCATTTTTAGTGATCCAAACATACTGCTTTGGATTGAAACAATTGAGGGATTCATCAAATACAAAACATATTTATAACCTTTGATTATATAAAATAGGAAATTAACATGCTAGTTCTTCATAAAAAGGTTTGTGTTAGTGCGCCCAGGATTCAAATATCATACGATGGGGAAAGAGGGAACATGATGTCTATTTTCTAGATGGTATTAAATCTATGCAAGTAGACATCAAATAGATGTATGAAAAGACATCAACAATATAGATGATAAGCAAGTAGATCTTACATTGCTGAGAAAACCATGGATGAAGAAAAAATGCAAAATGCAAAAAAAATAAAGAACATAAAATGACACTTACTTTATACTCCCCAGCATCTTCTACACCTATGCTGTATCTTTCGTATGAATCCACGGGATGGAAATTGAACACAAACAGAAAAGGGCCTCTCAAGTAAGATATCACCTGTCACAGTATACAAAAGTTGGAGTATCTTACTTGGTCTAAAAAATCATTTTTTATCTCCTGCTTCACAAAATACCAGTTTTTGTCTTTCATATGAAAATTAGAGCAATCAACCCATTGATTATAAAATTGTAAAATGAAGAGCTTTTATCTTTCATATGGAAATTAGAACAATTGCAATGGAGCCAAAGATTCATTATTTTTTGGCTTGAGATTATGATGGAATAAAGCAAAATGGCTCACTAAACTGTCTGCGCTTCTTTGTTATGGAGCAGCAGTCAGTCCATGCAATCTTGGACGCGATTTTCACTATGGGTCATCCGGAAACAGTCTCTCTATGCTTTAGTACAGGGGTAAGACTGCGTACATCCGACCCCCCCTTACCCCACCGTAGGTGGGAGCCTTTGCGGCACTGGGGTAAATGAAAATGATGATGGAAATTAGAACAATTAAGCCATTAATTCTAAATTTGTAATAAAGAGCTTTTGTCTTTCCAATGAAAATTAGAGCAATTAACCAATTATTTCTAATTGTAAAATTAAGGAAACACAACGAATCATTCAACTTAGACTATTTTTTATTTATAATATAAAGGCAATGGATAAGTAGTTGTGCTGGATTGATACTCTCACAACAACAACTAATTAAGATTTTCAAGTTTTGGGACATGCAAAAGGGAGAATGAGTTTTTGCACTCACGTTTACCTCATTATTTGACTTTGAGCCCCATGTTTTGTTTTGTTTAACATTGCACCTTGAGCGAGGTGCAGATTTAATAAAGAGGTTAGCATGGGGTGCAAATTCTAATGAAAAATGTGGTGTTTGCAAGGTAAATATGGAGTGCAAAATCCAATTTACCTAAAGCGAGAATGCAGATATCCCAAAAAAGAAGTTCTTTAAGCTTTTGCGTCATAGAATTGTAATTGGGATTTATACCCCTTTGAGTTTTAAATCTTTGAGTTCTGAACAGCTTAGACAGTGTTTTAGTTATAAGTTTTGCAAGGTCTAATGAAAAATATGGTATTTGCAAGGTAAATATGAGGTGCAAAATCCGATTTACCATAAGCAAAATCCAGATATCCCAAAAAAGAACTTCTTTAAGCTTTCACGTCAGAGAATTGTAATTGGGATTTATACACATTTGAGTTTTGAATCTTTGAGTTCTGAACAGCTTAGACAGTGTTTTAGTTATAACTTATAAGTTTTTGGTTCGAAGTTGTTGATTGCGATTCTGGTTATCCGAAAAACGCTCATGACCCATCTGACAGGCTGACAGCATAGCTACTTACCTTATTTTTTTTATTATCGGATTTAGAGGGAAGGGGATTTGGTGATGGTGGTCAATTAAAAAAACAATTGCTAAAATGGATACACTGATTACCAATATCTAACGTTTCTTCTATATAATAATCTAAATGCTTGAAGATTGATATATCACTTACTCGACCTTTTCATCTGTTATGATATTCACTTGATGAAGTAATGAAATGATTATACAAAAACAGATAAAGACAACCACGCCAAAACAAAACCATATACACTGTCATAAGGTCATACCATCATTACATCATTGACATGGTGGATGTTAGGAAGGGCTCTGGAAAGCACATTTCCATTTTCATCCAAGTCCAGCATATCCTAGGAAATATATAAATTGTTAGAATAGATGGGTAAAAGTTGTCAATTTCTCTTTCAAAATATTAAATTGGTGAGGGGGGGCTGGTAAAATCATAATGGGTGTATAATATATATATATATATAGAATTAGGTTCAAGTGAGAAAATGATCTTAGGAGAGAAATGAGAATGAATCTGGACCGTTAGATTGTATTATGTGAAATTGAATGTGCATCAAGTGAAACTGAAATGTGCATTAGGTGAAATCGAAATGTGCAGCACAAAATGTAAGGCATAGTGGTATTATGTAAAGCTGAATTGTGCATTATGAAAAACTAAAATGTGCACTACGTGAAATTGAAACGTGCAGAATAAAAACTAGGATGCAGTGACATTTTTGTGCCTTTTATTCTGCACATTTCAATTTCATGTAATGCAAATTTGAGTTTTATTTTTCATTCTGCACATTTCAATTTCACGTAATGCACATTTCAGTTTTGCCTAATGCACAATTCAATTTCACATAATACAATCCAACGGTCCAGATTCATTCTCATTTCTCTCCTGGGAGTCCTTTCTCACTGGAACCACTCCCTATATATATATGTATGTATATGTATATATTATACACAGAGAAATCTCTAACAAACCCTACAAGAATTAGCAGGTAAGTAAGCAATCTTCAACATAGTAGCCCGTGTTTTGTAATAAGTTATTTGGCCAAAGCAGCCTTCAATTACAACAACATTACCCCAGTGCCGTAAAAGCTCCCACCTATAGTGGGGGCCAAAGCAGCCTCCAATTAAATAGAACAATTCCAATAGCTAAGAAACGTTAATGAGAGATAAGCTGTATCATGCTGCATCACTAACTTACAATTCTACCCCACTGCACCCAAAAGGCCCCAACCTTCTCTTGGAACAAAACAGAAGGGGGACAAAACATGATAAATTTATCAAGAAAAAAGTGACAGTATTACTGTGCAGAAAAGCCAAATTGGATTATTGTGTGAAGTTAACCAGCAATTGCTCAATCACCTTGTCGAAGGAAAACAACTGGTTATGGACTTCATCTGCCAAAAGATCCCAACAACGGTTTGCCAGTGAAAATGAATAATTGTTGCTGTGGATTGGAAACTCAACTCTCTGTGTTAATAAAGTAATAATTAGTTCATATGTGTATAGGGTGTTAATAAGTGTTATCAATCTGCATTAATTATCTTAAACACAATATAAACTGTAACAAACCTGAGGGTGTCCAAATTCATTGCCCATGAAATTGAGGTATGCCGGACCACCAATTGTGAAAGTAATTAACCTGATCATCTTGTGCAAGGAAATAATATAAAAAATAAAGAATTAATATATTTCCAACAATGAAAATTAAAAACTTATATAATAAAAGAGAAGTAATAAACAGATCGCTCACATGCTGCATACTATGGACTTTTGGAGTATTCATTATAAGGTCATTATTAGCATTTAGCTTTTAAAGACTTGATTTGTTAACTTTTAATGAAACTGGGATCTAATTGCTTTTGACCTAAGGTCATGCGCACTACATAACCCAGTTGAAATTTATGAAGAATATCCTAAAGCTAATTTTGCCCCAAACTCTTTTGGGACTAAGGCTTGGATGTTGTTGTTGTATCCTAAAGCTAAGTTTTAGGTTAAAATAACAATGAAGGGAGAGCGAAAGTGATCCAAATATCCAAATTCCTCAGTTTCCCAGGGAAGGGGAAGGGGGATGTAGCATATCAGGATAAAACTTGCTCACAGGTTTCTGTTTAATTCAACCCTCCCTGCAAAACTAGTTGTTCAGGAGAAAATGGAAATAACGTGCAAGAAAGATTTGAAAAAGGAGAGAATAAATAGTATTCCCTCCATCTCATTTTGTAGGATACACTTTCCTTTCCGGGTTGTCCCAAAAATATGAACACTTTCCAAAATTAAACCCTACTAACTTTTTTCCCACCTTTTCCCTTTATCTATCATTTCACCTTTTACTTTATCGTGGACCCGCCCTACTTTTTCTTACTTTTTTTAGGTTAGAATGGTAAAACGACAACATTTCTCCTTTATTATCTTAAAACCCGTGCCAAATCCAAGTGTATCTTACATTAAGGGATGGAGGTAGTAACAAATTAAGTAGGTTCGAGAGATCAACATAGACTAAGCACCAACCATATGTAATGAGCAGCCTCTAAGTAACACTTCTTGTGAAATCGAAGGGTCTTTCAAGGTTTCACCAAATAATATTTCTGCAAACGAGCGCCCTCCAGATATAGACTGCCAGCAAGAAAATGGCAATGAGATTTGAACTGAAACAAAGTAGGAAGACTTCATAAATTCCAAGATGAAAATGGTAAAGGATAGCAACAAACCTGGTTGTGGTTTTCGGCATACAAAAGCATCTTATCAACACTTTGTCTATTGCCCATTAATTTGCCAGTAATCTGGGTATTAAGTGGTCAATTATTGAAAGAGTATATGGAGAATAAAGTCACAATTCCAACGTTAACCATTTACACCACTACTCTGAAAAAAAAGGTCTACCTCACTCATTTTCCATTCACGATCAGCCTTACTCTCAAGCAGCGATAGCCACATATCTGTGGCAGAAAGGTTGACAAAATAATCAAAGCCCAGTCCACCCTGAGAAGTTGGTTCACACAGTCCTGGATAAAGTGTTGCCTGAGCAAAGTAATTAACTCGTCATAATGATTAATGAGAAAAGAAAAGCAGATTCAAAAATAATAATGAGAAGGTTAGGGCCTCAAGAGGGATATAGGCAGGCACCTTACGATGTCATTTACAGAAGAACAAAAGATATAAAATTATGTGATGGCTATTTGAATCAGAACAGTTTCACTATCTCATCCGCAAAAGAATATTTAAGTAACTCCAAGGTTAAAGATTACTTACATCCTCTGCTATTGTGATTATATTAGGATGAAGAGTGTGCAAGATCTCATTGGCCAACATGAGGTACAGCAAGGCATCCTTGTCAACATATTGGTTACAGTACCTGCATAAATGATTAACCATATAAAAAGCTAACAATTGGAATTTGGGTTCACGCCTTATACACACTGAATGAATTTCTGAACATTCCAACATGACAGAAGTCTGATACAAATTTGGACTGAGACAAAAAAAAATCATTTTAGATTATCAATTTACTTGTATAAACTATAGTTACGTAACATGAATGTGGCTGAGATGCGCATGTTGCATTGGTTGTGTGGGCATGCTAGGAAGGACGGTTTGAGGAATGAGACAATCACGCAAAAAGTGGGAGTAACACCTATTGAAGATTAGATGTGATTATGTGAGGGTCTCAGTTGGGATGGTTTGGTCATGTGTGTAGAAGACCTAGTGTTGCAACAATTAGATGGATTGAGAGGTAGGGAGAGGGAGCAGTGAGGAAAGGGAGGGAACAACCTACACAGACATGGACTAAAGTGATCAAGAATGATGTGATAGTTCTTGGGTTAGATGAGAGTGTGACTTTGAGAGGGCGAAGTGGGAGGAGAGAATATGCAGGGAGGATTGATCTTTCATTGTGTGTCTCCCTCTTTCTCTATCTATTGTTTTCAACTCCGATATCAAGTGCCTATTCATGTTAGGATGTTTTTACTTGGACTGTAATTTGCTGGTTTGGTCTGGTCTGGTCTGATCTGGTCTGGTCTGAACTGGTCTGGTCTCTTTGTATTTTTATAACTATCCAAGTCTGGTCTGGTCTGGACTGGTCTGGTTTGATCTGGTCTGGGACGAATTACAGTCCAAGTAAAAACATCCTTAGTCTGTTAGCCAACCCCAAACTCTTTTGGGAATAAGGTTTGGATGGTATTGTGGTAAGTGTAGTTACATAACTAGTCTCAAAGTAAAACTAGGTAAATTTTGGGTGTCTTACTCTTCAAGGTCACCAGTAAATGATGCAAATCCATTGTGTGTATACATCATCGATGGAAGCGAATGGAAATGGAAACCATCAACATGATACTCCTCCACCCACCTAGAAACTCAAAAAGCACTACTTCCATGAGCAATAACATCAATCGGCACCAAAGACATATGAAGAACAATGAAGCAACCATGGACCAAGTCTAAATCAATACAAAATATTCCGAGTTCATCCACCAATATCAACATTTTTTACCAAACACCCAAAGGCATAAATAAATCTTTTAGGACTAAGTCTTGAATGTTGTTGTTGTTGTACCCACAGACATAAATAAAATAAAACTTTGGAACAAGTGTATCCACTTTCTAGCATAACCCATAACCCAAACACAAAATCACAGCCAAATAAAAACAATAATTGCACCGTTAAGAAATTTCAGAACACGGAAGGAATATAACATGAAAAAAGGGTTAATCTTGAAAATATTTACCAATTTAAATTTGAAAGAAGGAAATGCAGTACATCATGATCTCCATATTTGAACATTCTCGTACCCCAAAATTTATGATGCCCTCGTTTACCTATTAATACAGGTGGAAAACTGGACTTAGCACCTAAAAAAATCATATGAAGAAACCACACCCTTTTAACATCTTATAGTCATCTGAATGCTAAAACACAAACGCCGCTCTTCTGTAGATGAACCCAAAATATGAAAGAAAGGGAAAAAGTGACAGTCAAGTCTGTAATGCAGGTGAAATCTCCTCTAACCCAAAATTTGAAGTGTATACCAGTATGGAAAAAGCAGTCATTTGTTCCATCAAACTGTGCTAATCCAACCATTTCATCTGCTGCTGCATAGGAGTGGACAATGTCCAAGAAAACCAGCAGCCCAAAACCTTTCAATATAGAACCAAAGCAACAAGTCAATAAGTAACAGACCTAGATAAATGAAATATGAAAACGGCACTAATGTCTACTGGTAAGCTTACTTTACGAATTTGAGTAGGTCACTTTAGGTATGAAAATTATGGGAAGTGTGAGAGAAAACAACGGCAGTCCTGGCTGCCAAGGTTGATGGGTCCAGCTATTGAGTGTGAAGCCATTCAAATAAAAAACAGAGTTGATGAATGGTGAGTATGGTTGAATAAATTCTTCATGTTGTTTGAATATGCTTTTGGAATTCACCTCGTGCACTTGGGTTGATTGGATCAGCGGCTCAGCGCTGCATATTCAAGGCAGCTATTTCGATTCGGAGAAGGGACGGTTGGTTTAGGGTTTGCTGAACTTCGGCAGACAAGGTTATAAATTTTATTGAGGAACAGGAGAGTTTCTAGCATAAGAATTTGATATCAGAGATTCAAAAGCGTTCATAAATCCCTTCAAGAAACACCACACAATGTTCTTGGTCAGCATACATCATACTCTGACGCATCTTGGCCCAAAATACACATGCATGGGCTGATAGCATCAAGTTCATCCCAAAGGTTATGAAGTTTGGTAAAATCGGAGGAAACGTCATCTCCTTTTTGTTTAGCATTTGAGATTTGCTGATTCAATTCAAATAGTTTAGGGTAACTAGCTGGGAATACCTTTGGGTGAGATCATTCCATATCTCTCGGACGAATGGAGAAAAAAGAATACTTTGCATTAATTAATTTTAGACAATATCATCCACTCGTAGCTAACGAACAAGCATATTCAGGTCTTCAAATTACATATGGCTCCATAAATGAAATCAGGTTCATCCTAGACACTAAAACCTAAAGGCTTCTTCCATGGCTCTAGCCTAAGAGGCATAAATTTAACCATTAAGAATGGGTTGGCAAAAAATGGTATAAATATAATTAATATATTTTTATACCATTTATGGAATTATGGGATGGGTATATCAGAGTAGTGAATTGATTTAGGATCAATGTCCTTAAGAGATTTGCAGATGCATTTTCATCGGAAGATTTTTCCTTTGTGGTGGTATTGGATTGATTGTTTAGAGGGTTTAGAGTTTCATGGTTTAGAGTTTCTACTATTGTCTATTGTTACTATTTTTTAAACTTTAGTTACGTAGTACTATTTTTTAAACTTTGATGCTGAAACTTAGAAGAAGAAGAAGAAGAAGAAAACCACACCAATTTGGTAAGAAAATATTTCTTAGCATTGTTTAAAGGATATGTACTTTTAATTAAAAGAGTTGGATATTATTTTTGAATAACATGTCAGTTCTAAATAGAATATTAATATTATTCTTAATTATTACCCTACCCCACTTTAGATGTCCCAATTGCTTATTGCACGGGGAATAAGAAACGAATTATATTTAGTTAATTTTCAATTTTACCATCTAAAAGGTGGGTGACATTTGAGGAGTTGTGCAAATAGTTTTACATTTCACATCAATAAAGGGAAAGTACGAAAAAAAGTACAAAGTTAGTGAGATCCAAAAGGAGAAAGTAGACATAATCGTGAGACAAACTAAAATGGAAAGTAAGACTTGTAAATAATTCCAATGTTATTGTGAATTTTCTTAACTTTAAACAATGAAACTGTGCAACAAATAAATAAGATATAATTTTGAAAATTCAAATGTTCCACGCATTCTTTGAATTAAAAATAATTAGTATAGGTGGGTTATTTTTTTAACATGATGAAATAAATCAAAATGGCTCACTAAACTGTTTGCGGTCTCTTTGTGCTTTAGTATAGGGGTAAGGCTGCGTGCATCCGACCCTCCTTACCCCCCCCCCCCCCCCCCCCGTAGATGGGATCCTTTGCGGCACTGTGGTAATGTTGTTTTTGTTTGGTTAATTTTGGCTTTTTAAAATTGATGATGGAAAAATATGCAACTAGAGGAAAGGAATTGGAACACTTACCTTCCCAATCCCCATTGGGAGTGCCCCCCCTCGTAAACAACTCCTAAACCGATGGGTCCAAGAGAGACACTCTGATTTGAGGGGTCATTTTAATGCAAATAAACGCCCTCCTCGGGTTTCTTCCACATTCCCATTGACTAAAACTGAAGCAGAAATACTATGATAGGAACACGTAATATTTATTTAATATACAGTCCTATATTGTCTTTCAACACCCTGCGAGGGCATAGCAGTAGAACTTAGTGCGAGTATCAAAACCTGAGCTCAAAGCAGAATATGAGAGATGATAGGTGCAATCAAAGAAGAAAAACCCCTGAATAAAAATATCAAAAATGAATAACCGATAAGCCATAACTGCCTACTCGTAGTGGTCACACTCCAGCGCAGCTCTTTCAAGACGCTGAAGGAGAATGGATATAATCAATAAATGATCAAATAAAAGTACATCTAAGATGAATCATCAATACAAATATACAATAACAACCAAGCAAGATATATTGATTGCATCATCATAAATTCAGGAAGACAGTTTGTCTGGCTCAGGCAATGTGAACTACGCAATCATACCACACATATGACCGTTGAGATGACCCTTTAGTCAATCAAAACTACTTAATCAGAAAAATAAAAAATAAAAGAAATGTTTGATTGACAGATTCAAGTCTTACCGTGTGCTTCATCAACCAAGCGTTTGAAATCTTCTGGAGTGCCAAAACGGCTACTAACGGCATAAAAATTTGTCACCTGCACAAAATGGTAGGGTGCTTCACTAAATTATGAGCCACAGCTTTCGTGCCACTTCCTAATACTTTATCAGGTCAGAAAAGGTTAATTAATGCTCACTTACTCTATACCCAACAGTGAAATAATCTTTGTGTTCAACAATGCCAATGACCTGGATCGCATTGTATCCGGCCTCTTTTACATGTGGAAGGACCTAAAATTAAAATCAAAGTTATATTGCACACTTAAGCAAAAAATATAATAAAATACCCTGAAAATAGAGGCAAAAATGATGTTCTTAAGATAAGGCAATGATACTTCTGCCAGGAAGAAGTCCCAATCTCTTTCAGGTAAAGAAGTGGACAAATTAATGAATGAATGCTTTAAAGTTGAACTAAAGAAAGCTTGGACAATTTGATAGCGATTAATATCTAGATAAATTTCACAGAAAGCACTGCAAAATTACAAGTATTTACCTTGCTCACAAAATCACTGAATGAAGAAACTTTTGGTTCCTGACCAGCGATCCCAACATGGCACTCATAAATACGGAGAGATTTTGGTTTGGATGGACATTTATGCTCCCACTTGTATGCAGATTCAAAAGGTGGTTCCCAGTGGACAGCAAAAGCTAGATTTCCATCTGAACCTGTGTATCAAAGATTAGCTCATAGATTTCCATCAGCCTGATACATGAGCAACTGAGCCACATTATTATCTATGTGGATATGAATTACTACCTTCATCCCCCAAAAAATCATGTTTCATCATGGTGAAACTATCGAAAATTATCAAGCCTAGCTATATCATCATCATTACCCCAGTGTCGAATGTACACAATCTTACCCCTGGACTAAAGCACAAAGAGATTGTTTCCGGATGACCCATAGTGAAAATTGCGTCAAAAATTGCATGGGCTTATTGTTGCTTCATAACAAAGAAGCGCAGACGAGTCATTTTGCTTTATTCCGTCATATTCCTAAGCCAAAAAATAGTGAATCTTTGGCTCCATAGTAAATGATGGAAATCAAGTCTAGCTATGTGTTTAAATTTATTTATTGGTTTAATTATATTACTTAACTTGTTTCGGTCACTTAAAAATACATTACACAAAATGGAAATTAGTTTTTCTTTATTTTAACTCCTTTTGAATCTTTTGATACAGCTATGACTTTTCAGGTATGACTCTTTTTATATAGCAAAACTAAACAAAGGACAGGAACATGAAGTCGTGGATACATGATCTGATAAACATTGTTTCTATTTATTAATTGAGGTGTGCTTTAACACAAAGGAACAAAAAACGGTTACACAAATGTCCACTAAAACCAAAACAAATCTTTTGTCAAACCTGCAGCAACATAAGTAGCCCATGCAGGGACTCGTTCTAAAGGCCCGTCTGGAGTGTTGAGGTACACTCTATATCTGCTTCCATGTGGTATTCCAGGAGTATATTTCTCCAGCCATGCTTTCCTTCCTTTCTTACTCTCCAACCAATAAGCAATAGGAGGACTCTTTGCCCGAAATTTTTCTCGCCATACCGGGTCATCTACAATATTGTAAATATCATACTCTTTTCCCTGGTCAATCACATCAAGAGGTGGTAAATTGCTAGGAGGATCATTCTTATGTTCCTCTTTCCAAGCTTTATATCTAATCTCTGGATCAGGCTCAGGCTTAAGTTCCTCAAGTTCTTCTTCTGTTTGAGGGCTGTTGGGCCCAAAGAATTGCTCATACAACTTAGATGCAACCTCATAGCGTGATTTGATGAAGCGGTCTTCACCAGGTTCCCAATATTCATCATTTGCTTTCTTGAAAACCTCTTCTGCAGTGACACTGTCACCTTTGTCATATTCATCCACATAATTGTACTGTTGAAAGTAGAGTTCATCTGGCTCTTGTCCCGGACGTAATTTATCTTCAAGTATAATAAACCAATATCCATAATCATCATGGCCAAAATGACCCTCTCTGGCACAATTTTCAGTAGGTGACCACGCATTAAAATCACCAACAATAGCACAATAGCGGGCACCTAAAGTGGAAATGATAGCACTTATTAAGAGAAACAAAGAATCGTGAATTCTTTCCATGTGATGTGATTCTAAGAGGATTGGCAAATCAAATTATTTTTAATACTAGAATTTCTAGTTCCATTTTAAGGACTCGCCCGGACTATAGTATAAAAGACAGAAAATAACAGAATATATTCTAAATGAGAAACTTCATGATAAGTCAATACATAACTATAAATCCTGAATAGAAATTAAGTCCAGGGTACATGAATTTCGAGGTCAAGTTTCAGAGATGGTGAATACATTGCATTTGAAAAAGAATAGCATGCCTTAAAAAAGAATACCTAGGTGTAAGAGTTGTGTTGAGCCTAATTAAGCGATTTAAGCCTAAAGAGTTGTGTTAAACCTGGAGCCCACTCCATGAAATCCACTCGATGCTGCACATTCCTGTGCATGCCCATCATTTCAAATCTGGAAATAGGATGTCGTGAATCATGAACGTAACCGAACAACTAAAAAGAACCCACTTCATTTTCCTTGGGCAAATTTTATCATTCCCAAAAATAGATAATACCGTCCAAGGATGAAGGTTCATAGTATATCAAACTCCAAATAAAATGCACAAACACGATAATGCATAAGACGAAGTATATCTCCAGTAAACTAACCCAGACGCCATCTCCTTAAAATCGAGGTGACGGTTGCGAATTGAGTCTTTCAAGTCCTTCAGTGATTTATGCCTGAACAGTACTCATTGCATACAGCAAGAAGGGAATCAGAAGCAGCGCAAAGATTTACAAATGCTAAAAAAAGTACACATTTTTCACGAACTTAACCACAAAAAGTGACAACCTTTCACGGAGAAATTGAGCAAAAGCTTTATTAGAAATGCCGTATTTGGCGAGGAACCCAACCGGGTCAATGCTGCTTTCTTCGTCGGACCTGTCCCTTCTCTGCTTCGGAGGCCGCCGTTCGGGCCCTTGTGGTTTGTGCTGCTCGGCTGCATAACACCTCCAGTTCCTCCTCGTGCGAATGACAACGTGATTGAGGGTGTTGTCGCATTGAGTCACTCTTGACTGGGGATTAGTCTTGTTTCTGCTTGGTTCAAAAGATGGTTTCAGACAAGTGTTTATGTTAGCGTGGTTTGATAGATGAAATGATTTTGTTGTTTGCAGCATCTTTTGATGAGGAATGCTGAGCTAGAGGGTGATCACCGATGAGATATGAAACTACTGTCTGCAGGACTGTTGAGACTTCCGCTTCTGGTCATGGTCTTGGGACTCAGCCTTTGCTATTGCTTTTGTTTTTAAACAATTAGAATTAGTTCCAAACACCCCCTTAATAATGTTTGAGATTTATTTTGAAAAGTAAATGTTGGAAGTGTTTGGTAAAATATATACTTTCTCCGTTTTTTTTAGTTGCAACAGTCAACATTTCACGTTTGCCAACGCACAACTTTGACCGTCATTATATTTAATTCTGTATTAGAAAAAATAGAATGAAAATTAGATTATAAAACTTAGTAATGAGACGAATTTAACAACATTTTTCAAAAAAAATAATTCACATACATTAATAAAGAAAATGTAGTCAAAGTAAAGTACATGAATACTGTATATATTTCAATGTTGTAATTAATGAGATACGGAGGATAGTACTTTTTGTGTAATAGAAAAAGTAAAAAGCAGTTTGTGCAAATTCTATCAATGAACGGGGATTTATGTTTCAGGGCTATGGTTGGTGTAGGCAATTGTTTCTCAAATTTGTTGTTAGTTGTGTGTGTTTATTAAAATGTTAGGTCTAGAAACATGTTTGGCTCGATGTTATGTTGTACCAGATATGTTTCTACATCTACTTATTACTCCATCCGTCCCAATTTGATGATACCTTATTTCCTTTTTTGAGGATGTCCCAAAATGATAGTATCATTTCCTTATTTGGAAAGGTTTTAATTGTTAAAAGATAAATATATCCTTCATCTAATATCCTAATACCCTATTTAACCTTGTCCCAATTACCTCTTCCCTCATACCCGATCATTCTAGATCCCCATCCCTCATCTCTCACCTCTCTGTTGACTTCGCATCTCACCTCTATGTAGCCTTCTTCCCTTTGTATCCCCTCATTTCCGTCCCTTTGTATCCCCTCATTCCTTTGATTGTTCTTTGCATGTTCTTTCCTTCTTCGCCAACAATACATATTCCGCCATTAAAGACATCCTCTGAAACCACCATCTTGTCTCCATAGAGTCCCGCTTCTCAATCCGTAGATCCTTTACCTGATGCCTTGGTCTTTCTGGAATTTTTCATTCCAAAGACACGGGTTGATGGGATACAATACTCATCTAAGGATGTAAAGAGTGTTGCATGTGGCGATGAAACGAACCCTAGCTTGGGAGTGGAGTGAAGCACAAGGTTGGTGGAGATGAGCATTACGACCAGGCAAGGAGGATTACAAACAGGTTGAGCTAATTCTACCATGTGTGTTGTATTCTAGCTGATGTGATTTCTTTCCTCCCCCAGTGTTTGTATATCTAAACCTCACACTCTCTCGGCTCATTACTCCGTACTTTGCTCGTATTTGCATTTGGGCTTGACTAATGATACTAATTGTGGTGTAATTTTAGAGACGCTTTGTAACTAAGTGTGAGATGTATGTGAGCATGTGAACATTTATGTGAGGCTTTGCTTGATTTATTTGATTGTGATGAATATGCCTAAGTGTGTGCATGTGGTTATGAACACGTATGGGGTAATACGATGACTTGATTGCCACCATGTAGTAATTGAGAGCATACTAAAGAGGCTTTGTTCTGATTTTGATGCTTATAAGATTGTATGTGAGCCTGTGAACTTATATGCGAGCCTATGAACATTTATGTGAGGTTATGCTTGATTTATTTGACTGTGATGACTATGTCCAAGTGTTTGAATGTGGCTATGAACATGCAGGAGGTAATATGATGACTCGATTTCCACCCATGTAGTAATTGAATGCATACTAAATAGGCTTTGTTCTGATTTTGATGCTTATAATATTGTATGTGAGCCTGTGAACTTCTATGTGAGTCTGTGAACATTTATGTGAGGGTGTACTTGATTTATTTGACTGTGGTGACTATGCCTAAGTGTGTGAATGTGGTTATGAACATGTAGGAGGTAGTATGATGACTTGATTGCCACCCATGTAGTAACTAAGTGCATACTAAAGAGGCTTTGTTCTGATTTTGATGCTTATAAGATTGTATGTGAGTCTGTGAACTTCTATGTGAGCATGTGAACATTTATGTGAGCCTTGCGTCTTTCGCCTTTTCCAATTTCACAACTATCCTAGGATGGATGTCATGAACATTTGCTTTTATCCATTGTCATTTTACCATTAATCTTTTCATTAAGGAAATCAACATACCCTCTATCATGTGGGCAATATGATTAAATCTCGTTTCAATTATGTAACCTTTGAAATTCTGCCATATTATTCACAATGACATCGCATTTCGTGTGTGTTTAGGAAAGCTCTATAGAGTGAGTTAGGATTTTGAGCTACAAAAGCTTCTGCAGCAGATTTAGATATCTTTCCTAACTTTCCCAAAGCCTCACTATATCCCAGTTCATTATATGACCCACCAGCTTCCAAGATATAACCTTCTATCTCGTCACCTTTAAATTTAGTGTGTTATTTCTTAAAAACGTGCCTTGCACAATTTCAATGCACGACAAAGGGAATACTTTTGATACATAATTTACAAAACCCTACAAAATGTATATTACATTTAAATGTAATCTACATTTAACTGTAGCATACCTTTTGTTGGTCAGGTATTAATGCATGTCCAGTCTTCTTCGTCTGTTGTCTCCAAACAGAATTGTAACTTGAATAAAAATCGTTCTCAAGAGTTCTTGTTTTCACCTTCCACGTCTCCCTAATATAAGAGAAACATTTGATTGATTCCAGCTCTCCCACAACAACTAGTAGTATTCAACCCAAAAAAGTTTTTAAAAAGTAGTCATCTAAACAAACTACCCTTCTATAGCTACTTAAGAGACCACATTTCAACCCATTAAAGCATTCAAACAGCCTATGTGATGGATAGTGTACCCGCGGGGTAGTTTATCCGAGGGGTTACTGCGGGGAGTAACTAGAGAGAAGTCTGAGCAAGTAAGTAAGAGAGAGAAAGTATTTGATAATGTGAACTTGAGTTGTATTGAGCGTGGTTTACAATGGGGGAAAAGGGTGCTATTTATAGTAGCAATAAATGTTAGATAGGGACACGTGTCAACAATCTGGTGGTCGAGGGGTCACCTCAACTGGCGTGGCACTGGCATTCACATGTGGCCGCATTAAATGCGGTGGTTGGATGCGACGTTTGTACTTGGTACGTTGATCCAGCGCATGTGGATGGGAGATCCTGTCGAGGAGGATGCCTTCGGCTGTAGATGACAGTCCGAAGGCTCTGCGCACCGGGGGCCTCATATTGCCGAGGGCTCCTAGTGCCGAAGGCTTGTTTTTAAGTCTTGTTCTCCCGTGATGTTTCTGAGCCCTATTCTGTCACTGGTGTCCTTCGGCCATGGGGCCGAAGGCACCCCCCCCCCCATGCCTCATGGGCTGCCTAGAGCTTCCCAATGCCGGGCTTGGTCCGTTTTGGGCCTGTTGGACCTGAATGTAATAGTAAGAGTATGTGGGCCGAGGGGTTCCTGGGCCATATACTCCATCAGGAGTCTCTCACTCCTTTTGCCGAAAGGTACTTGAGGGAAAAGAAGTAATTGTGTTTGTCCTCTGATGCTGCCTTGCTGTAGTTTGTAAAAGTGGTGAGGAGTTTTGCGCTTGCGGGGTTGCCGAGGGCAGTCCCTCAGTCCTCCACATTTTGGGGCCGAAGGAAAATTTTGTATTTTTGTGAATTTCCCGAAGGGGTCATCCAGTCTCCCACTCCTTGAGGCACATGTAATGTGGTGAATAGGAGTAGAGGGTGCCTGTTTTCATCATGGGGCCGAAGGCTTGTGCTTTTCGTTTCATTTTGGGGGGATGTCTCGTTAAAAACCTCATTAGGAAAAACCCTTTGGGAAAAAATCCTAATGAGGGAAAAAGAGCGCACCGAATTCCCCCAATGATGAATCAAAAAGGTGAGCCCTTGGTTTGAGATGAAGAGCAATGTTGCCGCCGAGAGCTATTCGTGATCTGAGGGTTTGATCATTGCTTTTGCCGAAGGCCCTCCGTTGGTGTCTTGGTGACGCCGAGGGCAGCGACTGCTGGGAGCACTCCTCGAAGGTGTTTGTAGTTGATGAGCATGACTGAGCTTCCCGGGGAGTGTCGAGGGTAGTCCCCCAGTTAATAAGGTTAAGGGCGTGATCGCTGTTGATGAATGCCGGTGAATGCCCCTGTGTGCTGAGGGATTGAGCTTCCCCGGTATTGTAGCTGGAGGCTAACCATAGATGAGGGGTTGTGAAGGTGTGGCCCGGGAGGGTTCCCTGGTTTTCAACATGTTGAGGGCTGAGGGGTCCTGAGGGGTTCACCCATTGTTAAGTCGGGGGCTCCCTTTGAGGAAGAAGTCTGAAGGAGAAAGCCCGAAGGTATGCATAGTGTTGTCTGAGGGGTGCCAACCGGGGGCACCTCTGTGTTTACAAAAAATAGCCGTTGGAATATGACCGTTGGAGAGGGTTTCCATGTGGCGTGTGTTCGTTGGTTGTTCGCGGGCGGGTGTCACCAGTTGGTGGAGATGACGGTTTGTAATGATGATTTTCCCATCGGGGGCCCAGTTTCTGGCCCAAGCCCGGATTGGGGAGGCCTATAAATACCCCATGGCCAGGGTCATTCCTCCCTTACCCAGTTTCATTTGTTTTAGCGAAGCCCTGACCAATTTTTTCTAGAGAGAGAAAGTGCCATGCGATCAAACTTAGCCCCCAAGGTCAGTTCCTCGCTTGCTCTTTGCTCACTTAGTAGGTTCTTTGCCTTGCGGCCTTAGGCGTAGTGTTAGCTGATCCTTAGGAAATTTTCTTCCTTCGAACCCCTCGACTTCCCAAGAATGTCGTCACAAAGTGATTCACAAGATATCTCGAGGGAGCCCTCGGCTGAGACACAAAGCGTCTCCGAGGTGGAGTCTTCGAGCGGGCAGCTGTCGGCCGGAAATGACTTGGCGGTAGCTGAGGAGGTTCACAACAACCTTCGGGTGGAACTGGAGGCCGAAGATTTTGAGCAGGTAATCGAGGACGAGGAGCTGGCCCTCGCCGTTCAAGTCGCTGAGGAGGAGGAGCAAAAGGAGAGAATGAAGGTTACTGTGGCCTTCCCGTCCCGTCGAA